TCACAAGGTTGGCAATTGGCACCGGCCGTGGTGCAGCAAGCCTTTGGATCGCGACAGATTGCATCGCGTTTTCAACAGCATCCGAGACGCAGCCGAGGTGGAGGCTGCCTCTTCGCTCACAGGGCCTGAGCTCCAAGCGGCGGCCCACCATATGCGCCCGCACGCAGGCCAGGGCGCTGATCGACTGTCTCCTCCTGATGTCGAACGGTGACCTCTAGAAAGGCTCGACGAGCCAGCAGGCATTCTGAACGCGGTCGAGCCCTGCTTGAAATGGCCGCGGCAACTCACGCTCGTCATCGGGCGCCTTCTCGCGACGAAGGCTGAGGGAAATCGGTCCATTGGCACGATCGCCATGGCGCCGAGGATCTGGCCCCTTGCGAGGGGGCCTTGGGTCAAGGAGTGGGCAGCGGATTCCGGCCGCAATGGGACTCGGCGGCGGCAGGAAATTCGGCCCTTCGCGAATGTTTCCCACTTCAGTTGTTTTACGACAGCATCTGTTGGATCGCCCTGGCCGCAAAGGCCCTCGCGCTGGGGCTCCCCCCAGCCAGCTTATTCCTGGAACTGCAATGTCTTGGTCCACGAGTTCTCACTAAATCAGATTGCGTTTCAGAGGCTTTCCAACTGACGGCGAGCGTGATCCAAGGATTGCGCAGCGGAACGAGGTTCGCACGATGCATGACGCACTACGCCCTCGACGCCGTTACGAAAAGGAGCCCGATTGTAGATGTGATATTGTGGATTGACGACTTATCCCAATATGTACAAGGATCTCGAGATGTTGTTCTGAAGCGGCTGATTAAGGTCATCACTCATACTAGCAAGGCCTTGGCCGACTCGGGCCTTCAGATACCGCCAGGAGTGTTCTACTGTGCTCTCGCCATCGCGACGCTCTCGAGGTCTCAGCTTTAGAGGGGGATCACCATCCCCCCCGTCTCGCAGGCGGGGCACCTCGGCGTCGACACGGAAGCAGGGCGGCACGCGAGGAGCACGGCCAGAACGCGAGTTGCGAAGGCGCCGGGCACGAATGGGAAGATCAGGCGCTCCGCACACGCCGCTCGGCGATGTCGGCCAGCAATCGGATTGGAGAAAGCAGGAGCTCAGCCTGCTGGGCACTTTGGACACCAGACTTACGGGGTCTTCGGCAGCGGTATTATGGCTACTCCAGATTTCGTAATAAAAGGGAGGGGGTCTGGACCCTCCAAGACAAGCCATTTCAGACCTCCCCCGTGGGAGAACCCTCCAAAACATCGTCCCCAGACCCCCCAGGCCCTCCAAGATAGCCTGGAAGAGACCCCCCCCCGAAATGAGACCCCCCTCCCTTTATTACGAAATCTGGAGTATGCGCAGGCGGCTCGGCCAAGTGGCCAGCTCGGCGCGCCGCGGCGCCCCTGCTGGACCTGCGCCGTCCTGGGACATGCTCAGGGCATACTCGGGAGCGGCCAAGAGGGGGGTGTCCAAGAGGGGGGGGTGCAAATCATGACCGGCGGCATGTGCGCGGCCCAGCGGGGGGGCCAGGGACGTAATGAAACAAGAAGAGGCGCCATGAAATCTGGGGAGATATCATGGCCCACGCCATGATATCCACCCCCCCTAGTCATCACCCCCCTCCTTTCTGCCCCCGACATACGCTGCCGCGGGACTGCCTGCGTCTCTGGCCATCACCGTGGATCTCCGCGCTGGATGTCCATGCTGGAGTCCGAGCGGGCTGGGGCAATGCCGCCAGCAAGCTCCGCAGCCTCGCGGCCCGGGACCACAGTAGGCACGCGAGGGGGCCCATGACTGAAGGGGCCCTGGGACACACAAATAAATACACACAAATAAAAAGATTCCCCAATATTTCTTATATTTTTTGGGTTTCGGTCTTCCCCCCCACTTCCCATATTTTCCCATATTTTCCTGGGAGTCGACGATTAATTGTGTCTGTGTGTTTCTTTCCCTCCTGAATGACAGCGGTCATCTGCTACTTGCTGCAACGCGACTGGGGCCCAGTCGACCCGACCGAGCGGGGCACCAACCAGGGAGGCATTGAGGGTCGAGAGGCGTTTATCTTCGACCAGTTGCAGGTGCACAACGACGTTCCCCCCTTGTTAGACGAGTTCGAACTGTCGATTCGGTCTCAGCAGTGGCGCCGGAGGCCCCCCAGACGGCCCAAGGGGCGCCCAAAACGGCCTCAAGAGAGCGCCCAGACGGTCCAAGAGCCCTTGGAGTCCTCGAAATATCGGCCGACGATGCCCAAGATGGCCCCACGGCTGCCCAAGAGGCCGCCAATACGCTTCAAGAGGCCTCAAGACAGCCTCAAGAGGCTCTCCACGAGGGCCCCAACAAGCAAACATCGCCTCATTCCCTTCGGAAAACATACATTGTTCGCATGCGCGACGTTTCTCATCCTTCCAGCTTTCCAACGCCCCAAGACGGCCCAAGAGGCCCCCAAGACCGCACCAAGACGGCCCAAGAAGCCTCCAAGAGGGCCCCAAGACGGCCCAAGATGCCCCCAAGACAGCCCAAGAGGCGCCCAAGATGGCCCAAGAAGGCCCCAAAACAACCCCAAGAGAGGCCCAAGACGGGGACCAGGAACCGAAAAGTCCAGCCTTCAGCCCCAAGATGCCCCCAGGAGGCCCCAAGAAGCACCCCAAGAAGCCCCAAGAGGCCCTCAAGAGGCCCCAAGAGGCCCCAACAAGGCCCCCAAGAGGACTCAAAACTGCCTACCAGAGGCCCCCAAGAGGCCCCAACACGGCCCCCAAGCGGCGGGGCAATATGGGCCGGCGGCGTGAGCGAAGCGATCCGCCGCCCCACCGGGTACGGCGTGCGAGACGCCCACGCAAGGTCTCCAATAACTCTTTCCCCTGCATCACCTGCCCACACGCCTCGTACCCCTGCCCTTCCTCAGAGCTCTCGCAACCCCTCCTGGGGCCCTCCCCGCGGCCCGCTCATTCCGCCGGCCCGGGGGACCTAGCTGCGGAACGGACGCTTTCTGGCCACCACCTCCGTCCCCAAACCGCCTCTTTTTCACGTGCTACGCGTCCGGGCGCCGCCGAGTGCTATCAGAGACCTCTCCTGGAGCCCACCAGGCCGGCTTCTGGAGCCTCCCGGGGCCCCCCTGGCCTGATCTTCATAGTCTTTCAGGCCACTTTCGGCCGTTCCAGACGCCTCCCACCTCTCTTCCAGTCACATGCACCAGAAAACTCAAACAAGCAATACACATCGTCAAACACATAGGATTATGACGATTCTGTCCTTCTCGGGGTTCTCCTTGCGCCTCTCTTGGAGCTCCCGTGCACCTCTGCGGGCTCTTGCGGCCATCCTGGAAGCTGCGGATGCTCACTCTGGCCGTCCTGACAGACTCTCGGACCCATCTGAGGCCGCCTGGCCGCACTGTTGGCGCCCTCTTGTGCCGACTTGGGCGCGCTCAGGGGGTCCCTGGAGAGCTTTCCGAGGCCCCCAAACTGGCTCGGACCGCTTTGTTTGCCTCTGTACCCCTCTTCCATCTCGGCCGCCGTCTCCGACAATTTAGGGTGCCATTGTGGGCTGTTTTCGGAGCCTCTTGGAGCCCTCTGCGGCTGTTTTTCTACTCATTGGGGCTCTCTGGCGCCGACTGGTCCGCCTCAAAAGTCACTGGACAGCACATCTCGCTTCCGTTTATTTGCATCGTCCGCCGACCTCCCCTCGCGAGAAGTCCAGAAACGTGCGAGGTACACGGGATTAGATTTCCCCGTCTGAGGGCCCAACAATGGCCTATGGGTGCTTCTTTCTGCGTTTGCGTATGCCACCGCAGTGTCGCCCCCAGACTTCGACACGCGTTGTGCAATGTCATGCCGTCTTCAGAACCTCTTGCCGCCCTCGTTGCGCCGCCCCCCCAAGCCTTTTTGGACCCTCTGGGATCGCCATCGACACCCCCGCAGAGAAACTCCGGGGTTCCAAAAAAGTGGGGCGGCGGTGTCTGCCCCACTCAGGGGTGTTCAATTGAATCAGAAAAGCTCTGGTCGTGACTCTCCGCGAAGCTGCAACTGCCTGGCAACGACAACTGCACACCTGCACCGAGCATGGCCAGGCCCATCCCGTGCATACGCCCCCCTGGCTTGACCAGGAAGGCGCCTGCGCACATGGGCCCCCCCTGCTGGCGCCCTCGCCCTGGCGCGCGGAGCGCGCCGGCTGCGGCGCCGGAGGCGCCGCCAGAGGGCCCCCCAGCTCCGATCCAGGAATTCCGCGCGGAGCTACTCTCCAAATCATGCAAAAACCTTTGAACATCAATGCTTTTTGCTGCGCTTGGGAAGCGTCTTGGGGGGTCTTCTTTGGGTCGTCTTCGGGTGTCTGGAGCCTCTTGGGGCCATCGGGGGGCCGTTCGACCGCCCTCCGATTTGGTTATGCGTACAATGGAGACCAGTCCACAGGAAACCTTCCAGAAGAAATCCAATCGCAAAACCACCGAAACCCAAGAAACCCAGGGCACCCTGGAAGCAAGCCGGGTGTTCCTTGCCATGGGCCCCCACTGTATACCTCGGTCCGCCGCCGAATTTGGTTTTGGGGTCAGAATTCGGGTTGGCTTTCGGGACAAAACTACCGACTCCAGCGGCCGTTCGGGACGATCCTGGCACCCCTCGTTTTCGTGGCGAGGCGCAGCCGCTGGAATGCCTCCCGAGGCTGGGAAGCCGCCGAGAACCGACGGAAACGTCCGAACGCTTCCTGCCTCGAGCCCGAAAACTTCCACCTCGAGCCTCGGTCCGGCCGTGCCTCCACTGTACGCGTGCTTGGAGCCTGTTTTTCTTTAGATCCAGGCAAGCTTACTTGCATGGCGTTCGCCCCCCCCCCCCCCCCCCCCCCCCCCCTCTCCCCCTCGCCCCTCTTCAATCGAACACGAGCGTGCAAGCGCCTCTCGACTTGCGTGATTCCCGCACCTCGAACTGCTTTCGGCTTGCTTCAGACTCAGACCCCCCCCCCCGTCCATGCAAGTAAACTTGCCCGACTCCAAAGAAAAACATGCACTTGTGTTCTTCCTCGCGCACCGCGGCCGGGGGCCCCGTGGCGCTGCATGACGCGTCGGCCAGCCGCAGCGCCAGCTGCCACCGGGAGGCCTCCGCCGCCGCGGCGAGCGCCGCGATGGCGCCGACTGCGTCGGTCGCCACGAGAGCCTGGCCCGCCTTGCAAGGGGGGCCCCGCCCTCTCTTGGCGGCGCGCGAGGGGGGGGGGAACGAGAAGGAGGCCTCTCCTCCTCATCTTCGTCCTCCTCCTCCTCCTCCTCGTCCTCCTCCTCCTCCTTCTCCTCCTCCTCGTCTTCCTCCTCCTCATCTTCCTCCTCCTCCTCCTCGTCCTCCTCCTCCTCCTCCTCATCTGCGGGACTTCTTAGAAACCCTCGCGCCATTCCGAGGAGTTTTCGGCGCCTTCGGGTTAGGCTTAGGAAACTTCTCAGAAGGCCGGGGGGACTTCCGAACCTTCTGCGAAGGCATTTGCGAGGCGGAGAATGATCCATATCCCCTGCCTGGGAACCGACGTCCTGGTGCCAGCGGGCGGTGGATATGGATCTATGTCGGCCCCCGGGGGCCCCAATATATCCATATCCACCGCCTGCCGAGGCTCCAAAAACTGACCCTCCAGGCGGTGGTCATGCATAAATTCCCGCATCGGAGCATTCTCCTTCTAAATTCCCCCCCCCGCTCGCCGCCGACTCTCAGAGGGACACGCCACGGCACGGACACACCGCCGGGGCGCTGACCTAAGGAGCCCTAAATAAGGAACGTGGTCCCTGTTTCCCAGAAATTCGACTTCGATGTCCCATGGGAAACCTCAGGAAAACTGGAGGCAAACTGTGGAACAGGCCAGTAACACGGAACCCCCCCACGAAGAGGGGTTCCTTCTTCAGAGCCCCGACTGTACACTTCGGTCGGACGAAGTGGGCAGTAAAAACATGAAGTAGGAAGGCGGATAACATAGATTGGAGCCAGGCGGCCCCATAGAGTAACAAAACACAGCACAAGCACACCGATTCTTGAAGTAGGAAGGCGCTTGAAGTAGATTGGGGTCTGGGAATCCAGAAATACACACTTTCAGCGACTGGCGTGCGCTGGGCACGGGTCTCTTGGATCTGCGCTGGGCAACCCAGGCGGCGCCTCCCCCCCCCCCCCGCGCGCGCTCCCCGCGCCAGGGTAGGGGCGCCCCGACGCAGATCCGAGAAATCCGCGCTGGGCCATGAAAGTCTATGAGTCTAAATGTAGCTTGTGCAGGAGCGCCCAGGATCGAATCTATGTGTCGGATCGGCGATCGACACGGATCGGATCGGCGGAAACACCTGCAACCAAATCGAGAAGCCGGATCGACGGACATCGGCACGCGAAAGCGTCCTCCGTGAACAACTCGGACTCCACCATCGGAATCCGAAGTCGCAGCGAAACGGAAGCGGAAACCATCGACTTCGACTCGAACCGAAACGAAAGAGCCGACTCGAACCGAATCGGAGGGGCGAGTTGGAAGGGAAAAGCAAGCAGGCTGGAGGAGGGGGGGAGCAGAGGATGAAGAAGAGTAAGAGGAGGAGGAGGAGGAAGAGGGAAGGCAGATGATGAGGAGGAAATGGAGGAGGACGAGGAGGAGGAGGAGGAGGAGATTCTGCTCCTCGACCTCTGCCAAGCATTGGAGCGCCGCGCTCCAGAGTGCCGCCCGCGCGCACGCGCTCGCGGCGGCGTTGAGGCAGGTCGTGCCCGGGCGCAGGTGGTGGGCGTGGGCGTCCACCTTCAGTGAAGGGGGCACAGGAACACGCTGAGAAATGTACGCAAAAACCCAGGAGCCCCCCATGTGTTCCAAGAGTTCCTCGGGTTTCGTCGTCCCCTCCACTTCCCAGGTATTCCTGTGCTTTCCTGGGGGTCGACGTTTATGGGTGGTTGCGTGTGTTTCCCCTCCAGATTTGTGGCAACCCAGGGCGGCGAGCCTCCCATGTCACATCGTGTTGGCTCTTGCGAATCCACGCTCACTGGCGCGAGTCGACGCTGCATATGCGCTTTTCAATCGACTACCAGACGCCAGTGTGCAGTCGGCGCAACGAGGAACGCTATCAACAGGAACGACGATCCTCTTCGACCCCCCCACAGCGCTCGCGTGCACGAGGGGCGCTCGAGGAACAACCATGGACCCAAGAAACAACGAACCTTTTCCGAATCCAAAACGGTCGTTATCGTTTCAGCATCTTGACTCCATGTGCGCCTTCCCTGTCCCCTGGTCAGGGCAAGCAAATCGATTTCCTCGGCGCCGTCACCGCCGCGGCCAGCGCGCGCGAGTTCGCCAAAGGCTGGGTCACGAAGCCTGGGGCGCAACCCAGCGGGCCGTGACTTTGGGGCAACCCCGCGGGCCGCTGGGGCGCGTGGGCAGGCCGTCGGGGCAACCCCGCGGGCCAGGCCGTTGGGGCAACCCCGCAGGCCTCGATGCAGGCGCGGCCACGCCCAGGAGGGGGGCAGCGCGAAACCCAGCCGTGTTGCGAGCTGCTCCGCCTCACCCCTGGAGGTCCTCGCTTTCTCATTCAACTTCTTGAGCGCCTTCCGAAAGGACACGGGCGGCCCGCGCTCCAGAAACTCGCGCGAGGGCGGCCGCAGGATCAGCGTGTTGCGCATGCGCGTGGCGCGGGAGAGCATGACGTAGAAGTGCAGCCACCGCTGCTCGTCCGACATGCCCGTGCGGCCAGCGTCCTCGCCCCTCGCGCAGTCGACGGTGAAGCCCTTGCACAGCGCCGGGCCCCAGAAATAAGGCGCGTGCGTCAGGGTGAACCCCGAGCGGCGCACGGCGCGCGGCCCCGAGCTTTGCCACGCGAGCTCCTGCTCGCTGGGCCTGAACATGAAAAAAGAGCGTGTTCTACCAAGGAAAACCGGGGGGGGGTCACTGGGGGTTCCCGACCCGCCCCCCCTCCTTCGAAAACCGAGGGGGGGTCACTGCCGGTTCGAACCCCCCCTCCCTCCCCTCCCGCACATCATAAAAAGGGGCTGGGGTCACTACCAGTTCGACCCCCCCTTCGCCGCCGGCAAATGATTCCCACTCTTCGGGGCAGTGGGACAGTGGTGGGGACGCTGGGACGGTGGTGAGGACGGTGGTGGTGGGGACAATGGTGCGGGGACAGTGGGACAGTGGTGGGGACAGTGGGACAGTGGTGGGAACGGTGGTGGTGGGGACAGTGGTGAAGTGACAGCGGGACTGTGGTGGGGACAGTGGCACAATGGTGGGGACGGTAGTGGTGGGGACAGTAGTGAAGGCGGCGGCGACGACGGTGGTGGGACGGTGGCACGGTGGGGAGAGCGGCGGGGACAGTGGGGACTGTGGGACCGCAGTGGGGACTGCGGAACAGCAGGGCAGCGGGGACAGCGGGGACAGTGGTACGGGCCGCGGGAAAAGTGGGGAGAGTGGGACCGCGGTGGAACAATGGTGGGGACAGTGCGACGGTCGCGGGGGCACTTGTGGACAGTGGGGACCGTGGTGGGGAAAGTGGCGGGGACGGCGGTGCTGGGGACACCGGTGGGGCATGTGGTGCGGACGGTGGTGGGGGCCCGCGAATCGTTTGCCGGCGGTGAGGGGGGGGGGGGGGGGGGGGGGGGGGGGGGGGGGGCCCGAAAACCGGCAGTGACCCCCCTGGTTTGCTGGACGGGGGGGGTGTTCGAACCAATATTGGCCCCCCCCGGTTTTCTGGAGGAAGGGGGCTTCGAACTGGTAGTGACCCTCCGTCCGGTTTTCGGAGGGGGTTCGAGACGGTAGCGATCACCCCCCGGTTTTCTGGAATGGGGGGGGTCAGGGACGGGGGCTTCTGCCGGGGAGAAGGGGGGGAGTTGGAAGGGGGGGGGGGGGGGGCCGGGCTCCGGAGTGGGAAGTGGAGGGGGGATTTTCCACAGTGAAGCGGCGATGGATCACGCTCTCTCGAACATGAGCAAGCTCCTCGCCCGCGCGTCGGCCTCGCCGTCGTCGTCGGCACTTTCGGCACCCTATCGCAGCAGCTCAGCGACCTCCTGGGAGACTCCTTGAAGCCGTGCGCCTGCAGCCAGATTCCCTGCGGTAGGTAGCGGGGGCGAAGGCCCGGCGCGCACCCTCGTGCGCCAAGTGAAGCCCGATACGAGATTCGGACGGGATTTGTATCATCCCGTTCCGATTGTCAACACAAGCTGCGGGCACCATAGGGAAAGGGTTCCCGCCTGAGACGTCCTCGCAATTCACTCACAGACGGGGCTCCCTCGCGAGACTACAACGACGACAGTTACAGGATCCCGATGACCCGCTCGGATTACCAACATGAAGTGCGGGCCACATAGGGACGGGGCTCCCGCCAGAGACTTCCTCGAAATTCACTCACACACGAGGCTACCGCTCGATATTTCTTCCATATACAAGCCTGATGTAGCCAAACGTGACGAAAGTTACAGGCTCCCGATGACCCGCTCGGATGAATAACGTGATTTGCGGGCCACATACAGACGGGGACTCACGCCTGAGACTTCCTCACAAGTAACTCACAGACGAGGCTCCCGCCCGATATGTCCTCCACCGCCAGGCCTGACAATTAATTACAAGATCGCGATGATCCGCTCGGATTGATCACATGATCTGTGTGCCCCACAGAGACGGGGTTCCCGCCTGAGACTTCCTCAACATTCACTCACAGACGGGGCTCTCGCTCGATATTTCTTCCATATTCATGCCTCAGGAGGTCAATTGTGACGACAGTTGCAGGATCATGACCCGCTCGGATTAATAACGTGATCGGCGGGCCACATAAAGATGGTGTTCACGCCTGAGACTTCATCACAAGTCATTAACAGACGAGGCTCCCGCTCGGCACTTCTTCCATATTCAGGCCTAAAGAAACCAAAGGTAATGACAATTACAGGATCCCGATGACCCGCTCGGATTACCAACGTGAAGTGCGGGCCCAATAGGGAAGAGGCTCCCGTCTGAGATTTCCCAGTCCTTCACTGAGTAGTACGCACAATCGAATGAATGAGACACTCAGGAACACTGAGTGAGTGAGTGGGATAGTGAATCAATAAGTTATGGATGAATGAGAGTGATCGAGGGGGTGTGAGAGGAGTGTCTATGTCATAATGGTGTGGTGGCCATGATGATGTGAATGTGTAAGTGTCTGAATGAGTGGTGAGGCGGGGAGGGAGGAGAAGAGATCCTGCGCGGGGGGTGCGCAGAGAAAACAAGAACCCCACTTAGGATGTGAAGAGAACTCCACATAATCTAGATGTCGGCCCTCGTGGGACGTTTCTGGGCCCCCCGGACCATCAACAGAGGATCCGGGACGAGAAACTGCCCCCAAGGAAGTGGTCGGAGCCTTCTGGGACTGCGGATTGCAACAATCAGGCGCCGAGTCATGGGGGGGCGATCAATGGGGGAGAAATTGCGGCCTTCTCAGAGCGTTCCAGAATCCTCGTCCTAGCCCCGTCCGGTTCGTGCCCCTTTTGGGCCCCAGGGGGCCCCTTCAGGGCACAAGAGGTGCACCTTTCCTCCCCCCCCCCTTTCGCACCTCCATTGCTGGACGCCCGAAACAATCAAAGCAGCGGATATCCGGGATCCTAGGTCACCAAACTCCGCGCATCCCGACCGCGATTTGCCACCCAATCCACCAGCGTCGCCAGCGCAAGGGCCCACTGCGTGGAAGCGCCGCAGGCGTCTATGGTGGCGCCGCAAGTGACCACCGTGGGTCGCAGCCCGTCGCGGCGGAGCGCAGCGAGCAGCAGCACGACCTCGGAGTAGAGGGCGCACAAGTCACCTCCTCCGCCTCCTCTTCCTCCGCCGTGTTCTTCCTATCCTTCCTCCTCCTTCCTCCTCCTCCTCCCTCCTCCTCCTCCCTCCTCCCCTCCTCTTCAGCCTCCTCCTCTTCCGCCTCCTCCTCCTCTCCTCCTCTTCCTCCTCCGCCTCCTCCTCCTCCTCGGCCTCCTCCTTCTCCTCCTCCTCCTCCTCCTCCTCCTCCTTCTCCTTCTCCTCCTCCTCCACCGCCCCCCTCCTCCTCCTCCGCCCTCTTCCTCCGCCCTCCTCGTCCTCCAACTCCTCCTCGTCGCTCTTCTACGTCAGGCAAACATTGAGCGATTCTCTTAACGTCGCGCAAACTGACTCTCATGGGCAAGCGAGAAAACCATGAAAAAAACCACATGGAACTCAGAAACATATGGTGCGACAGAGTGCCGGAAGGTGAGACAAGAGAGACGAAGCAAAGTGGAAGAAGGAGAGGTTCACAAGGGAGCTAGGCAGGATGCCCTGACGAAGTAGGCACAAGCAAGGCTTACCCCCACCCACCGCCAACTCGTCATGTCCACACTCCGATCCTTTCTGTGATAGGCCCTCACCCAGGGCAGTTCGAACCCTCACCGAAGGCAGCTGGCAATCAATGTCAACCATCCCTCACCGAGGGAGTAGATAAGCATACCGCCAATTGAATGGTGCCGATGAGAGTGAAGAGCAAATGCGACGACGATGATGAAAAGAAGGCTGAAATTGCGGCACTGCTGGGCTGGTGCCCTCACCGAAGGCCTTTGCTGGAACACTGCCCTCACCGAGGGTCTCTGCACTGGAAGGCGCCTTCCCCGAAGACAGAGAAAACTTCTCAGAAGGCGCGAGGGCTTCTTCTGAGAAGTCCCGCCGCCTTCTGAGAAGGCCTTCTCGTTTAGTGATTCTGGTCAATGTAGGAGCTCCAGGGCCCTACCACTAACCGGGTCCCCTTACCTGGGGGCATGGCTATACCCGATTGGGGACTGGGACGTGCACGCCGTGTCGCGCTGAAGCGTGATGGGCCGGAGCCGGCAGCGCGTCAGGCTAGGCCAAAGTTCCTGACCGTGGGTCGCTCAACTTCGCGCATCGCGCCCCGCGGTGCGCGGCTACCTCCGCCCGCCCATACCTTTGGAAATTCAAGAAATCCGCGCAGACGCGCGAACATTCATGTTGACACATTTTGGGGGGGGGCTCTCCGGGTAGTTGCCACCCTCTGATCAGCACCTCTCAAGCTCGACCGTGTCCGGGCTCGGCAATTTTCCGGGCACGCGCCGACATGGGTTACGGATCTGTGGAACTGGCGCGCGGGCGCCAGGTCCACGTCTGGGCGTGACGTGTTACTGGAGGCAAGTCGCGAAGGTCCGATGGCAACATTTCCCGTGTGTCCAATCATACAGATAATTGCATATCACCTGGCTCTTCATCCTTGATCTTACAATGTGCCCCCTCTGACGCCCTCGCCAGAGTCACGCCCCGTCCACCGACGCCAGTGTGGCGGACCCCTTGGAAGGTTCAACAACTATTAAAACCGATTGGACATCAATGATTTTGGCTTCTTGGGCTTCGTGAAAGTCTAAGAGGGTCTCGGGACGACTCTGGAGGGTATCAGGATGGCCCACCATGGCTCCAAGACTGCCCAAGAGCGCCCCAATACGACTCAGGACTCCACCAGGACCCCCCAACAGGCCCCCAAGAAGGCCCTAAGCAGTCCAAATATGTCACCAAGAGGCCCCGAGAGGCCTCCAAAAAGGCATCCAAACAGGCCCCCAGGGGGATCCCCGAACGACCATACTCTACACATTCCAGACGTTCACCCCACGAAGCGAGAGGATCGAATGATCGGGGGAAGTACCCCCGCCCACCCCCCCCGAAACATGGCGCCAACGCCACCTGATTTGGCGACGGAGTGCGGCGATGTTGCACGCAAGCAGGAGCCCACTGCTACTCCGCGCGCCGATTTCCGTGTCTGAATTTCCTCTAAGTTCGGGGGCCCCCCAAACAGTGCGGTGCCAGACCGTGCGGTGACCTCGAACCCCCACAAGACCGCACCACACAGTCCGTCACCGCACGGTCTTGGGACCCTGGAGGCCTTGGCTGTCCGAGACGTCCTCGAAAGACAACCCAAGTCCCCAAACCGTGCCGCCCCCCAGAATCCTCGGAAGGGGGGTCCAGCGCCGATCCGAGAATTCCGCGCGGGCCTCCGAGCTTCAATGTTTATGCCATTGTTCGTTCCCCTACTTCTCGACGTGAGCCCCTGGGCAACTCGATCACTTCCCCAGGACCACCGCCCGCACTATTTCTGCTGCCAGCCCCTGGGGGCCGGGAGGCGGCCTCCCGAGGCCGAACACACCGTGCCAAAAAACTGGCCGCTGCGCAACCTCTGTTTTGGCGCCGCCTGGATCTGAGGGGGTGGTCCCCGCGCTCGCGCAGAAGGGGGGTAGGGGGGAGGAGGGGGAGGCTTCTTGGGAGGAGGCTGCTTCTTAGAAGAGGCGCGGGCCTCCCATCTGCATGCAAGGCCCGCGCCTTCTGAGGAGCAGGGGTGCTTCTAAGAAGCCTTCCCGCCTCCCCCGGCCCCCTCTGCGCGTGGCCGACAGACATCCACTCCCGTTTTGCTCGATGCGTGGACCCCCCGAGGTCTGGACCACCTCCCCACAGGCCGGCGTTTCGCCCTGAGAAATTCTTTGTTGTTGGACGGCCCCTGGGGCCCACGGAGGCCCCCCGAGGCCGAGCATTGCCAAGCACCGGCCGCTCTCCAAGCCTCTCGGCGCCTCGGACCTCTGGGGGCTTTGCAGGCGGCACGAAAAAAACGGCCCTGCCGCTTCCGGGGACCTGCTGACCAAGGTCAATCCAGACCCGGCTCAATCGGGCCCTGCAGAAGCCCGCAAGATCCTGCAAGATCCTGCACCGACGCCCAGGCCAATGCGGAGGATGCTGCAAGATCCTGCAGGATCCTGCGACCAAGCCCAGGTCAATGCGACCCTGGCCCTGCAAGATCCGGCGCTCTGGCTGACCCCCGTTTATGGGACGCACAGAGACATACTAATACTATATGTCTATGTCCGCCTGGGAGGCGCGCGTCCGACCCGAACATATAGTACACCCATCTTATCGTTTGCCGAGCGGTGTGGCCAGAAAGCGCCCGCCACGACGCATATACTACAAGATTTCTCGGTGCGCGCGTCGCCCCTTGGGGGGGGGCGACGCACACATCGGAGGTTGGGGGGTGAGTCCGACGTGAAACGGAGACCCCCCCCCACCGGGAAATCGATTTCGGTTTCGGGTTCGTGTCGTGCGTGCCGTGCGTGCGAGCGGGCGAGGCGAAACTGCGTGGGCGGGCGAGAGGACATCCTCCTGTGGCTGGGCCGCGGCCGGACCAAATGTTTCTCCTCCGGCGGCCGGTGGCCCGCGGTGTCCCGCCGGTGTCCCGCTGGTGTCCCGAAATCCTCCTGTGGCTGGGCCGCAGCCGCGACAATGTCGAGTGCGCTTCGCCAATATCGCCGCATCACATCACGCTCACGTGCACAATCACACTACTCACTAGACTCCGCCCCACAGGCATCGTCAGAACAACAATCACCACTTTTGCCCATTGCTGCCCCCCCCGAACCTCCTTATCACCCGCAGGGTGGTCGTATAGGTAGTATAAGTATGTCGGGGCGACGCCGAACTTACATTGACCCCCGTCTCCTGAGCCCCGACTGCGCTCGCCTGGCGAGGCGCCGGCAGGCCGTCGAAGATCGATGGGGAACGCAGCCGTCCACGCTCGAGGGGGCGGCCCGAAGACAGGCGACGGGCGTGCTCCGCACGCCAGCGCGCGTAATTTCGGGGGTGGGCAGGCCTCCTACCCTGACACGTCGATTAAGGAGTTGGCCGTTTTCGCGTCGCGAGGGGGCGTCGCGGCCGTCACGTTTGCGGGTCCAGGTCCGTCACTTTTGCGGTCCCGGGCCGTTTTCACTAAAGGGTGGTTTACTAAAGGGAGGCTTGTCCACCGCCGATAATTCATAAGGGAGAGGGGGGGTCACGGCCCTCCCAGACGGGCAGTATCGGACCACCCCCCCCCCGGACCAGCCACTTGGCCCAGACCACACTGGAGCCCCCTTCAAGACAGCCCAGCTCAGACCCCCCGAACCTTTATCTCCACGACATTCGACGTAGCCCAAAAGCTTGCAGCTCAAAACTTCTTCGGGGCCTCGGATCTCTGGGCTTTGGGAGCCCCCGAAGATTTCTGGAGCTCAAGGCGACCTGGTGCCACTCCCGGCCCCGCGCGCAGGCGGTCACGGCCGCATTGTACCCTACCACGTCCAGCTGGACCTGGAGGGTGCAACGCCAGGGGGGGGGGGCGGGTGGTGAGGCAGCCGACGAACCTCCAAGGGGGGATGAGGAAGGGGGGGAGGAAGAGGACCAGGAGGAGGGAGAGGAGCAAGGGGGAAGGGGGGCAGGGAGGGGGGGAGGGATATTGAGACCTGGCAGTCTGACAGCCTCCGAACCTCCAAGGGAGGAGGAGGGGGAGGAAGAGGAGCAGGAGCAGGAGGAGGAGCAGGAGGAGGAGGAGGAGGAGGAAGAGGAGGAGAAGGAGCCCACCCGTGCAGGACTCAACTGGCACCTGCCAGCGGACGTGACATACGATGACCACGTCCATGGCCACCACATGACCACGGACATGACGCCACCTCAAGAGGCAGACGCAATCAGTTGGCCACCACCTCCCGAACCCGCCAGATCTGAGGAGCCGGCAGAGATCCAGGTCTGCGGCTGCATGGCGCCACCTGTTGCCGACGTCCGCGACCTCATGTCGCACATCACGCCTGAAGCACGTGCGGAAACACGGCAGATGCCAACCGAGATGAGGCACGACGTCTACAACGGCACCAGCGACGACTGCGAGGCAGCCGTCGAGCTGATGGGCTCCGCGAAGCGCACGCCGACCAGCGAGATTCCCCCCCATGCACAGACCGCAGCAGGCTGCAGCACAGGGCACCCGAGGACGGCCAGCCGAGTCGTCGCTGACCACCCGACGCGCCGCGCAGACGCCCACAGCGAGCCGCCCCCGCCAGAGACTGCCCACCTCTGCCATCCTGCCCACCGAACTACATGGCCTGGGACGCGCACGTGCCACAGTGGAGGCCTGTCCACAAGGAGCCCTCCGCAAGAAGCCCAAACCCCGAGGCCCCGAGGCGTCCATTGATTTTTGGCGAAGGCACGTCATGCTTTCTCCGTCGCAGGACCATCGAAACCCAGGAAAGCCAGGGCACCCTGGAGGCAAGCAGGGTGCTTCTTGGCATGGGCCTCCACTTCAGCACAGGAAGAGGAGGAGGAAGAGGAGGAGGAGGAGGAGGAAGAGGTCCAAACAGCCGGCCTCCCTCACGCACTATCCCTGGCACCCCACCGCTGGCTGCCCTGCCGAAGCCAGGGGGTCGCATATCCTGTCGACGGCGCGCCTGCCAAATGGCGCGCTCAGGTATGCTACTACGACGACGACTACTGCTACTACTACTGACGTTGCTAGTACCACTGCTACCTCTCTTACTACTGGTATGGTCTATTATTCGTGCTGCTGCTACTGCTACTACTACTACAACTTCTAATAGAAATACGATTACTTATACTGCTACTACTGATACCACTACTGCGACGACTACGACTGCTATAACGACTACGTCTACGACCATGACTACGACTGAGACTACGACCGTTACTACTACTACTACTACTACTACTACTACTACTACTACTACTACTGCTACTACTACTACTACTACTACTACTACTACCACTACCACCACCATCACTACTATTACTACTACGACTACTACGACTACTACGGCTACGACTACGACTACGACTACGACTACGACGACTACTACTACTACTACTACGACGACGACGACGGCGACGACGACGACGACGACGACGACGACGACGACTACTACTACTACTACGACTACTACTACGACTACTACTACGACTACTACTACTACTACGACTACTACTACGACTACTACTACTACTACTACTACTACTACTACTACTACTACTACTACTACTACTACTACTACTACTACTACTAATACGACTACTACTGCTACTACTACTGCTGCTGCTGCTGCTGCTACTTTACTACGACTACGACTACTACGACTACTACGACTACGACTACTACTACTACTACTACTACTACTACTACTACTACTACTACTACTACTACTACTACTACTACTACGACTACTACCACTACTACTACGACTACTACCACTACTACTACTTCCTACTACTTCTACGACTAC